CAGGTGAATTGAGACACAGAGCCACTCAAATAGTAAAGTTAAGACCAGCAAAGGGCTAGAAAATCTTAAATGTGTGTAATCACGCTTAAATAAAAATGGACAGAATTATCAAGGCAGTTATAAAGAAAGCAGATGATGTTTTTTTTTTCTGATAGTGATAGAACAAAAAGTGAAATTGCTAAGAATCTAAAATTTTTACAATGCAGAATTCTGAAGCATGGCTAGTACAGATGCCAAGCATGGGTTACAAATTGTATCTTTTTCTTCGCATTAAAAACACTTAGCTTGAACTTTTTGCAGTATCCCTTTTTGTAAAATTGAAAGATGATTTTATATGTAATTCACACCCCCCCCCCCCCATCTCATTATGTAGTCCAGGCTGGTCTGGAGTTCACTATGTAGTCCAGGCTGGCCTCAAGCTCACAGTCTTACTGCTTTAGCCTCCGGAAGCTGGGATGACAGCATGTGTCCCCATGCCGTGCTACAGTCCATCTTGATTGAAGGTGTTCAGCTGACTGGTGTTTGGTCCACTCTGGTGTTGTACAACTGTCCCCTCTATCTGATTTAACACATTTTCCTCCCCACTAAACAACTCCTTACCCCAGTGACCTTTACTTCTGCTTTCCTCTCCCGATGCCATCCCCTCTAAGTGGTGATAATCTATTCTCTAGGGATTTGTCTACTGGGGGCATTTTACATGGATTGACTCAGAACGTGTGTCCTTGTTGCTCTTGTTTGTGTTTATTATTGTACTTGATTTTTACTTTTTTTTTTGGTTTTTCGAGACAGGGTTTCTCTGTGTAGCTTTGTGCCTTTCCTGGAACTCACTTGGTAGCCCAGGCTGGCCTCGAACTCACAGAGATCTGCCTGGCTTTGCCTCCCGAGTGCTGGGATTAAAGGCGTGAGCCACCACCGCCGCCGCCACCACCTCCCGTACTTGATTTTTAAAACCACACATTTCTCCTTAAAATCTCAGTCTCTGGCTTTTCAAAGTTACTAAAGAGCAAAATAGCCTTTGGTTTTGAATGTCATATGATGATGAGTTGTCTTAGCCATGTAAAACGAAAACTGAACCCAGAATGAATGAACACAGGCCCATCAGTGTCTCAGCCTGAGCATCGTTTCTGTCCACCCAAGGCAAGCCCGGCGTTAGGGCAGAGCCTCTGACTCCAGAGTGTGGCATTTTCTTGGATTTACTGCTTTTTTCAGTTGTCTCTAGATACGAACTTCCTTTGGTAGTTGACCTGTGCTGTTCTTGCTGTTGGCTTTTGTGTAGGAGCACTGGTACCTAAGCCTCTTGCTTTACCAGTATAATGTTAGGTTTGCTCTGTAAGCCCTATTCAAATAGAGGTTTAATTGAAAGGTTTTTATAAATTGTTTAACCTAGTAATTTTATACAATTGCTTTGAGCACAAGTAATTTTATTGGCATTTCTGATTAGGTGCCAGAAAAGACCTCTACTTTACCCACTAATTTGGCAGTGGGATTCAGAAACTTAAAGAATACTGGGGTTGAACTGGATGTGATGGTCCAGGCCTGTAAGAGGCAGGAGGACTAAGTTCAAGGTTATCCTCAGCTACACAGAAGTTTGAGATCAGCCTGAGCCACGTGACCCTTGCCTCAATAAAGAAAGAAGAGTGAGGCCTAAAGGAATCCCCCACGTTAAAAAAGTCCAGTGACTGATTTGTGCTGACACAGCTGTAGCTGTGGCCAGTTTCAGCTAGTATTGGAGTGTAGACCTGAGGGGCAGTGCGGCCATAGCCTAGTCGGTAGAGTGCTTGTTATGCAAGAATGAGGATTTGGGGTTGACTCACAGAATTTAGGTAAAAAGCCAGGTTTTGAGGCAAATGCTTGTAATCCCAGCACAGGGCCACTGAAGACAAGTAGATCCCTAGCCAGCCAGCTTAGCAAGTAGATCCCTGCCTAGCAAGCTCCAGGCCCCAATGAGAAACCTTGTCTCAGAAAACAAGGTGGACAGCTTCTAAAGTCTCTGGCCACGTTGCGCACACAAGCATGGGTGTGTGTACCACCGCCCCATCAACATACAAAAATGGAAACAAAGAATAGAGACCTAAACTTGATTCTGCCCTACTGTTAGGTATTTTCTATTACATTTGGATCAGCACACTACCACCTGCCCTAGTGCAGGGGATGAGATCCAGGGCCTTATGCATAAGGCAGGTGCTCTATTGACCAGCTACGTCCCCAGCCCCCCAACGACCTTGGAGATAAGGATTCTAATGGTAGAGCAGATGAAGGCAGTGTGGTGAACGGCAGTGGTTTATGTTGCTTCAGAATTAGCTACAGGACTTGATAAGAGAGATTGTGGGGCCCTTCCCAGGTCCTGGGAAGTTGCATTTCTACCAAGGAGTTACTCACAGGTAGCCTGCCACCTGCATGTCGGTCACTTCAGGTCTGAGCCCTGCTCTGTGGCTTTCTGAGGACTGTATCTGTTTCCCGTATGCCTTCTCTATGCTGTGCATGTTCTTAGTTTTGTTCTTGATCTGATCCCCCATGGAGGCCTTCATGTATATAAGCACGCAGTGTCAGATATTCATCATTTTTGATCCTTGCAGGAGACCCAGAGCTCTGAATCATTATGAAAATGGAATAAAATTTGAACTATAGTATTCAGAATGTTTGAAACCTTTTGCTTTTTTGTTTTAACCCCTGACATCCTACTTGTGAGAGGTGAACATAATAATCACTACACTACAGAAACCTCTCCAACATCCTACCTGATAGATACACGAGTTTTTTTAATTGTCTTTTTGAAACACAGTCTCTTCTGTACAGCCCTGGTTGGCTGGAACTTGGCTATGTAGCTAGACTGGCCATGAACTTGCTGCAATCCTCCTGCCTCTGCTTCTTGAGTTCTATGATTACAGGGGTGTGCCATCACATCTGGCCTATTGGTATTTTATTGGCCTATTTATTTAAAAGCAGCTATTGAATGTTTTTTGTTTGTTTATATGTTTCGAGACAAGGTTTCTCTGTGTAGTCCTGGCTGTCCTGGAACTCTCGCTATAGACCAGGATGGCCTGGAACTCACAGAGATCCATCTGCTTCTGCCTCCTGAGTGCTGGTGTTAAAGGCACACACCACCACTGCCTGGCTGTTTTTTGTTTGTTTTTGTTTTGTTTTTTTAGAACCATTCATTCGTTCATTCTCTGAGTGTGCCTATGTGTCACGGGATACCCGTGGGGGCCAGAGGGCAGCTTTTGGTGGTTAGTTCTCTCCTTCCATCAGTGTGGGTCCCAGGGACCAAACTCAGTTTGTCAGCCTTGTTAGGAAATGCCTTTATTCTCTGGGCCATCTTGCCAGCCTGGCTGGTTTTTCCACTATTTTTTATTGTTACTGTTTGTTTTTAACATTTGTATTTTTATAGTTTATCTGTATATTTGCATGAACTGCTCACAGAGACCAGAAGAGGGCACCAAATCCTCTGGAATGGAGCTGCAGGTGCATGTGCTCTCAACTGCTGCCTGTCTCTGCAGTTTTTCGTTTTATTTATTTATTATTTTGTTTTATTTGTTTTTTATTTTACCTGTATGGGTGTTTTGCCCTTGTGTGTGTTTGTGCACCACATGCATTCTTGGTGCCTGTGGAAGCCAGAAGGTTCTCTGGAACTGGAGTTACATAAAGTTGTGAGCAACCTGATGTGGGTGCTAGGGACTGAGCTCAGGTCCTATGGAAGAGCAGCAAGTGTCCCTAACCTCTTAACCAGCAATCTCTGTAGCCTCTTGTATCGAGCATTTTGTAATTACCCCCCCCCCCCCCTTTTTTTCTTTCCCTCCTGAGACGGGGTTTCTTTATGTAGCCCTGGCTGAACTGGAACTCACTCTGGAGCCCAGACTAGCCTCGAATTCAGAGATCCACCTGCCTCCTGAGTGCCGGGATTAAATGCGTGAGCCATCACCGCCCAGCTTGCTTTCTTTTTTTCCATTCAAATTTTTAGTTAGTGTACAAAATAAATGATGGGTTTAATTATGACATTTTCATAGTACGCATTGTTGTGTTTTGTTCCTGTTTGCTCCCCGCAGCCCCTTCCCACCAGTCTTCCTTCTCTCCCTGGTCCCCCTTTCTCCTCCCCCACAAATAGGTCCCTGTCTGGTTTTATGTCACAGGTGTGTGAATACATTGTTTAAATGTAGATTCCTGACCTGACATTAAACAAGCAATGTCTTATCCCCCAACCCCTTCTGCTTTTACCCTTTCGTGCCCCCCTCATTCCTGATTCCCATCCTAGTCTAAATGTTTACTCTCGATTGTTTATTTTTTTGATACAGAGTCTCTGCACCCAGAGTGGCCTAGAACTTAACTATGTAGCCCAGGTTGGCCTTGAACTCATGACAATCCTCCTGCTGCCTCAGCCTCCCAAGTGCTGGGATACAAGAGTGAGCCACCGTGTCTAACTTTCAAATGTTTTCTTATATGAGCAGTTTAGAAGTAAAAGTTTTGTTTTTTGTCTTTTAGTTTAGAAATGAAAAACATTTCTCCCTCAATTTCCTTCCTGCCTCCTCCCCTCCCCGCCTTCCTTTTTGGTTTTTGAATAGGATCTTGCTGTGGTATCCTGGCTTGCCTGGAATTTAGCATGTAACTCAGGCTAGTCTCAGACTCACAGTGGTCTTGCCAGCCTAACCTCCCAAGTGCTGGGATTATAGCTATGCACCACCACACCAGGCTTTTTGTTTTGAGGCAGGGTTTCACCAAGTGGCCCATGCTGGCCTGGAGCATACAATCTTCCTGCTTCAGCCACCAGAGTACTAGGATGATAGGCCCATGCCAATTCATCAAGCTCTCCCCTGATTTTCTTTGGTGATTAATTATAAGCATCAATTTTTTAAATTATACTCTATTTTCACCTCATTTCCTAGAGGTTTTTTTTTTAACCTCTTGGGAATGAATATATGATTGAGGTGGCATGGCACTGGGAGTACATGTCTACTGCCTTATAGCCTCTTTCCAGGACTTTGCAATAATGACCGTCTTCATTTCAGATGAGGTGGAAGATCATCCAGCTACAGTACTGTTTTCTCTTGGTCCCGTGTGTGCTCACTGTTCTGGAAGCTGTACCTATAGATGTAGACAAGACCAAAGTACACAACGTTGAGCCCGTGGACAGTGCAAAGATAGAGCCCCCAGTAAGTGCGTGGGTGGATGAGAATACCTAAATGTAATCTACAGTGATGGAGTACGAGGCTCACTGCTAAACGACTCACGTGGTGAAAGTCTGACCCGCTTCGGGACTGTGAATATTGTTAATGTCGACTCTGCGTAGAACCCCACATTGAGCAACTGTTTCTGAAGCAGTAGTAAAAAGGGTACCGGGCAGGAACCAGGTGATGTATGTAACACTGACCACTGCTATTTAGTGTAATTGGTATGTGAGAAGAATTAATCAGGGCTGGAGAGATGGCCCAGAGGTTAAGAACACTGGCTGTTCTTCCAGAGGTCCTGAGGTTCAATTCCCAGCACCCACATGGTGGCTCACAACCATCTGTAATGAGATCTGGCTCCCTCTTCTGGCCTGCAGGGATATATGCAAACAGGACACTGTATATATAATAAATAGATCTTATATAAAAAAAGAATTAATCTGTACATTTTTAATGTAGCAATAATTATCCAAAAAGAGAAATACTGTTATTTTCAAAGGAGGGAGAGATGATCGTGAGGAGAAACCATTCATGTTTCCCCCCAGAAATCCATTCACACCATCATGTTATTGTTTTTCAGTGGTGGGAATGGAACCTGGAGCATGTATTCTAGGCAAGCACTCCACCCCTTAGCTACATCTCCAACCTTAAATCTTCACTTTCTAGACCACACAGGACATTTACACTTATTTTGTAATAAACCCTGATTTTGGTCTGAATTTAAAACTCTTCCTTGACTGTTGAAGCTGTCAGAGAACATTCTGTCTTGGTGCCATTTTGCTAGAAGTTGCATTTCAGGGTGCAAGTCTTTCTGTTCAGACCAAGGTAAACTTTCTGAGCTGTGATGGCTTGTTTCTGACTCACAGGATACCGGACTTTATTACGATGAATACCTCAAGCAAGTGATTGACGTCCTGGAAACAGATCAACATTTCAGAGAAAAGCTCCAGAAAGCAGACATAGAGGAAATAAGGGTGAGTGGAGTTCAGCAATGGGCACGGCAGAAAAAAAAAATCACACTGAGAAATAGATCGGGTGGCTGGATCTGTGCTGTTATATTACAGAGGTGTAGAAGACAGACTGTGGCCCATATGGAGCAGTGGGTAAAGGCAGGAAGTCATTCTTCCCAGCAGAGATTATGTCAGAGCTAAACTGTAGAAGGAAGAGGGAGGGGCTGGATGGTGTATGAGCCCAACATGCAAGGGCTGTGATGCACACCATGTATAGGAAGTACTCTGGAGTTAGAAATGGAGGCCATGAGTGGCCAGAAAATGGTGTTGGAGTCATGGGCCAAATGGCAGGGAGCTGTGTACAGCAAGTGCAGTGGCTTGGATCATGTTCTGAGGACAGCAGGAAGTTATTCAAAACTGAAGAGCAGGTTAGGGCCTGATTCTTTGGTCAGTTCCAGATTAGCAGACGAGGTAATGAGCTGTATCTTATGTTACTACAACAGGTGCAACCATTTGCCTCCATCCTAAGGATACTGTTATGTATAATGTCCTGGTCATATTGAAACTGTACGGCTGCACAGGTTATATGCAACACTATTCCATTACGTGTAAATGATTTATGCATCGTGGGTTTCAATGTATGTGCAGGTCCTGGAAAAAAATCCTCTCCTCTAGGGGTTAAAGTGAGGAAAGGCTGTTGTAAATTTTAAGTGTTCATCAGTTGAGAAGACATTTGGATTATTTCTGCTTATTTTGGTTAGTCTGGGTAATGCTGCTGTGAACAGTGATGCTTAAGTTACAGTGTTAACATGTTTCAGCCTCTCAGTTATAGTCCTGGGGATGGAATTTCTGGATCACATGCCCATTCTATTTTTAGCTTTTGAAAGAACTACTTTGAAGGAATAGTTTGTTTCTGTCTTCTGTGGCAGGGTCTCAGGTAATCCCAGCTGGTTTCAAGCTCATTGTATAGCCAAAACCTTTGGATTTTTGATCCTCCTGCCTGAGATTACAGGTGTGGTCCACCACACCTGGATCTTTTCAATGCAATACTAAGTTTCTTGCATGGTAGACAAGCACTCTACTAACTGAGATACATTCCTCCACATTTTAGGGTTTTTTTTTTGAGACAGGGTTTCATGGAGACTGGGCTAGCCTTAAACTCTTGATCCTCATGCCCTCACCTTTCAAGTGCTGGGATTGTAGGAATGAATGATCATGTCCAGCTGAAATGAGACTTCTGGAAGGGATGCTTTTATAATGCCAAATGTATCCAAGTTAGCCAAACTGTTACTAATTTAAGATAATGCTATTTAAAAACACATGTTTTAAATGTGTGGGTGTTCTGCTTGTGTGTGTCATGAGCATGCAGTGTCCACACATGTCAGATAGGGTGTTGGATCTGGAGTTACAGATGGTTGTGAGCTGCCATGGGGATTCTGGGAACCACACCTTGGTCCTCTGGAAGAGCAGCCTGTGCTCTTAACTGCTGAGCCATCTCTCCAGTTCCTTTAATGCTGTTTTTACTCTGTTACCACAGGTCTAAAATGGAATATACTAGATAAAACTAATTTGTTGATTTTGTTGACAGAATGGGAGGCTGAGCAAAGAGCTGGACTTAGTAAGTCACCATGTGAGGACAAAACTCGATGAACTGAAGAGGCAAGAAGTAGCAAGGCTGAGAATGCTTATCAAAGCTAAGATGGATTCCCTTCAAGGTAGGTTCTAGGCAGATGGGAGGGCACTTCCAGCACTTGTTTGTTGAGACTTGGTTTATGTAAAGGGCCTATAGCATGCTCAGTTATATGTGCATAGTATGTATGTATTCATGTGTGTGCGTGAGTAGTATGTGCACACTCATGTGTGCTTGTGTGTAGAGGTCAGAGGTTAATGTAAGGTGTCCTCTGAGACTGATATTTGCTGTTTTCTCATGCTTCTGCAGATACTGGCATGAATCACCACCTTCTCCTGAAGCAGTTCGAACACCTGAACCACCAGAATCCTGACACATTTGAATCCAGAGATTTGGATATGCTAATCAAAGCGGTGAGGGTATGCCCCCAAAGTGGGGTCTTGATGTTCCTTTGAGGTTCTTTGATTTGACAAAATGGCAACATAACTTTCATAGGCTCTGGAGACCATGTATCTTCCAAGGAAGGTTGCTTAAGCTTTCTCACTACAGATACTATTACTAACATGGGTGCACATCGCTCATCCATGTCCCCAAATCTAGAATGCTGCAAAAACTGAACCAGGTTTGAACTAGCCAGTCACAATGGTATCTATAGTTTTTATTTAGACGTTGTAAGGAAGTCTTGCTATGAAGGTTCTATGGAAGAATCAGCTTCCTTTGCCAATTTATGGTGTTTCCTGGTATTTCTTGACATGAGGCAGTGTGACTCAAGTCTCTCCATCTCCATTTGGCCTTCCTCCTTGGGCCCAAAATTTGGACAATCTCTTAAAATTTTGTTACTAGTATATTTATTTTATATATGATATATTTATATAATATTTATTACTCTGATATATTATTATCTTATTGTATTACTATATATTATATTTGTGTGTGGTGCTAGGAGTTACACAACTCCGAATTTCATGGATGTTAGGGATTCATGCATGCTGGGAATCCTGGTATGAGCTACCACATCTGGCTGGCCCTGGGGGGTTTAAGATGAGAGTCTGTGGACTTATTGTATTAGTTATGAGAGGAATTGACAAACTTGATGTTTCAGTTGAGTGGTTATGAAATTTAGTGAAATAGCTGTTGACCATATTTCCTGTCACGTCCATGTTTGACCTAGTTCCTTCTTTTTGAAATCAGTTTATATTTTGCCTGTTTTGAATAGTTCAATGTTGGTTTGTTTGTTTGTTTTCCTCTCCCATTCCACATCTGTTAGAGAGCACAGTGTATTTTTAAGAGCAGTTTTATTTTATTTTATTTTATTTGGTTTTTTGAGACAGGGTTTTCCCGTGTAGTTTTGGTGCCTGTCCTGGCTTTTGCTCTGTAGCCCAGGCTGGCCTTGAACTCACAGAGATCCACCTGGCTCTGCCTCCTGAGTGCTGGGATTAAAGAAGTGTGTCACTACTGCCCGGCTGAGCTGTTTTATTGTTCTAGAGAAATAGTTCTTTGCTCAGTTGCAAGACGCTGCCTCAATGAATGAGGTGGGGAGCAATTAGGGAAGACTCCAACACACACCTGCACACAAATGCCCATGCACATGTGAGTGCACATGCACACTCTCAGGCACCCCACACACAGGCATGTGAGAGAAAGAAAAGAGAATGACCGTTTACACTTCTCTGGCATGCTGATTTGGATGGGTTGTGCTCTAGGCAACCGCAGATCTGGAGCAGTATGACCGGACTCGCCATGAAGAGTTTAAGAAGTATGAGATGATGAAGGAACACGAGCGCAGAGAGTATTTAAAAACACTGGATGAGGAAAAGAGAAAAGAAGAAGAATCTAAATTTGAAGAAATGAAGAGGAAGCATGAAAACCACCCCAAAGTCAATCATCCTGTAAGGACTGTGATTTGTGGAAACCATATCTAGACGAAGCGAATTCCTTGTAGCAGAATTTTATCCTAAGTTTAGCATGTAAATCTCGAGTCTTAATTCTGAAAAGTTCCTCAGACATATTTTTTGAGTCTCTATACATAGATTATATTTTGTTTTGAGCAATTTCTTAAAATTGGTTCACAGGGAAGCAAAGATCAACTAAAAGAGGTTTGGGAAGAGGCTGATGGATTGGACCCTAATGACTTTGACCCCAAGACATTTTTCAAATTACATGGTAACAGATTTGATACAAATATTGATATTTATATCTGCTGTTTGAAAAGTCTGTATTTGATTTACTCGTTATTGATGACTGTGATGGTTTGCTGTTGAGTTCTACCAATAGTCATATTTAGAGTTCTTCCTCCAGATGAAATTATTAATAGTCTTTTAGCTGACCTCAACAGAAGGTATTTTAGAGCAGAGCCATACCTTTTGCTTGCTTTTGCTATTGAATCACTGTGTGACTCACTCCAAAGCTTTTTGTAATCTGGAGGTAATTTTGTAGCTCATTAGGTTAAATCTAACAAGCTTTACATGACAGAAATAAAATTTTGCTAAACTTATCTAGTGGTGACACCTGTAATCTCAGCACCTGGGGAACTGAGGCAGGAGGATTGCTGCATGTGTTAGCCTATCCTGGACTACATAGTGACTACCAAGTCAGTCAGGGCTACATAGCAAGACCACGCTTAAATTTTGTTTTTCAACTACTTTTATTCTTATAGATACTGCTTTAACTTTCTGGGAAGAAATAGATAATGTATACATGATTATGAACTGTAAATATAGAATTGACCCTGGAGCTGCTCGGAGGCCTTGTGGAAAGATGAAGCCCTGCCTGCAGCCAATTGTCACTGTACATCAGCACTACTTTCGCAAACTGTTGTGATTGTATTTTGAGTATTTGTTTTCTGAAGGATTCAAATCTGCCTTTGCATTTGTAACTATTGAACTTTAGATGTCAACAGTGATGGATTCCTGGATGAACAAGAATTAGAAGCACTGTTCACAAAAGAGGTAAACAATGGTTATGTCCTCAGGCCCGTCTGCCTCGTTCCCCTCGGGCACCTTGTCTTCTTTCATGTTGGTTTTCACACTTCCTTTTTTTAGTTGGCAAAAGTGTATGACCCCCGAAATGCGGAGGATGATATGATAGAAATGGAGGAAGAAAGGCTTCGCATGAGAGAGCATGTCATGAACGAGGTATGCTTTGAGGCGAGGGTCTGTGTCATGTCTATCATTATTCAAGTTCTTGTGCTAATCCTTATCATAAGATGGAAGAATAAATATACAGTTGGTATTTTTTAGACTTATTTATTTTTATTTTATGTGTGTGAGTGTTTGCCTGTTTGTACATATGTGCACGTGTGTGCCTGGTACCCAAGAAGGCCGGAAGAAGATGCTTGATCTCTTGAAATTGGAGTTACAGACAGTTGTGAGAGGCCATGTGGGTGCTGGGAACTGAACCTGGGTCCTCTGCAAGAGCAGCAAGAGCTTTTAACTGTTGAGTCATCTCCCCAATGATAGGTACTTAATTGGATTTTGTATTTGTAACCAGTTACTATACTAGATTTCTTTAACAAAATAATCTGTAACTGCTTTAAAGTATTTTACAAGATTATGATACTACTGTATGTCAGCAATTAACATTTTAGGGCAGTAAAAAAGCAATGAGGTTTTATAGTTAACATTTTTAAAACCTACATAAGCTTTTATGGGTTGAAAAGCTCTAGTCAGAAACCCAAAATGCTACAAAATTCAACACTTTCTGATCACTGGCAAAGGTGCAAGGTGTAGGAAAGCCTATACCATGAATTTTTATGTTCGTGCACCAAATCATTCATAAAATTATATAAAGTTGCCTTTAGGCTGTATGTATAAGTTGTATATATGACCCATAAATCAATTTTTTGGGGGATCCCAAACCCAAGAAACCTAATTATGTATGTACAAATATCTCAAAAAAATCTCAAATTTAAAAACCACTTCTGGTTCCACACATTTTGGATAAGGGGTACTCAGCCCACACTGAGAAGATTTCCAAGTTCCGTTACTTTAGTAACTATGACAACAAATATCTACATCTTTACCTTCCATAAGCTTCAAGGGTACGAGAAGGTGGGTTGGCTCAGCCAAGCTTGGGCCTAGTGTGGTTTGGCTCTTTGTCCTTCATTCCCAGGCTGCAGGAGCATTCTCTCACTGGATGATGTAAAGGACATAAACTCAAGACCCTTTCACGCAGTAATGTGTAAGACTCGTGCCCAGCCATACCACGCCCCATGTCTGCTCAAATCCCACTGACTGAAGCAGGTCCACAGTGAGGAGAGGATGGGTACCTCTCACAGGCTGTTTCAGCAACACATGCTGAGCTGGAGGCAGGAATGTAGACCCTCATTATAGGACAGAGCTGTAATTACAATAAAAACATAAACCATCACAGGCACCTAAAATTTTAATTTCTGTCTTTTAGAGCAGCTGATTATTTTATTGCCTTTACTTGTTCAGTGAGTTTGTCTTTCTCCCCTGGCTTGGGTTTCCGGGAACAGAGTGACACGTGTTGCTAAGTAATGACAGATGTGAGTAGAAGGACAGTTGCCTCAGCAGTGTTTGTTCTAGTGTGTGACCCTACTGCATCCCCCAATACTAGAGCAGAGATGGTTCAGGACCATCATGGCTGAGACATGGTAGCCCATGTGGCAGGCATGGTGTAGGAGATTGAGAGCTATAATCTGCAGGTAGAGAGAATGAGACTCTGGGCTTGGCTTGAGCTTTTGAAACCTCAGAGCCCACCCTCAGTGACAAACTTCCTCCAACAAGGCCACACCTCCTAATCCTTCTCAAATAGTGCTACTCCCTGATGACTAAGCTTTCAAGTATATGAACCTAATGGGGGGACATTCTTATTCAAACTGCCATACATGCCTCTATTCTCAGCACTTGATAGGCAGAGACAGAAGAACCACCGGAAGTTCAGGCCAAACTGATCTTCATAGCTAGGTCCATATTATTGAGACCCCATCTTGGAAAGTGTGCTGTGAAGAGCAGTAAGTTGAGCCTCTTAACTTACCTGCTTGTTCTTGGCCATGGCAGCTGCTCTGGAGTAGCAGTTGTTCTTGTCTCAGCATTTGAGTCTAGCTGGATTAAGTTTATTGTGGTAAAGGCATTAGCCATAACAATATAACCAGCTAGATTACTGACTTGGTGTGTTGGTCTTGAGCATATCAGGTAGATGGACGGCTTGTATTTTCGAGTTTTAAGTCTATACAAAAATGTTTCTTGATTCCATAAAATGGAGTGTATTCCTTCATTTCCCCTCTCGTTTCTGCATATATGTTAACCTTATCCTAATTGGTGAATGTTTACAAGGGGGCATCTCTTGGGATATTTGTACCTAAAAAATAAGACTTATTTATGTTGCTTTTATATTTTCCTTTAATCAGATTGATAGCAACAAAGATCGACTGGTGACTCTGGAAGAATTCTTGAGAGCTACAGAGAAGAAGGAGTTCTTGGAGCCAGACAGCTGGGAGGTAAGAGGACGAGCTTCAGAGGGCACGTGGTTCTAGAGGCCCTGCACTACTGTGTCCTGCCTTTCACTGTCATTTCTCATTGTGTTTGTGTGTGTAATCTTACAGTATTAGTGTTTTACATCATGTCACTATAAAGTAATATGTCCTTGTCTCCTTGGACAACTTTCTAGTAATTTATGATCACAGAGCATAAAGTTAGAAAAGTTTTTTTTTAAAAAAGGATTTATTTATTTATTTATTTGTGTGTGTGTGTGTGTGTGTGTGTGTGTGTGTGTGTGTGTGTGTGTGTAAGTGCCTGATGTATATGTGTATATGTGTGTACCATGTGCATGCCTGGAGCCTGAGGAAGGGAAAGGGGGAGTCCAGTCACCTGGAATTGGAGTGACAGACCATTGTGAGCCACCGTGTGAGTGTGAGGAACCAAACCTGGATCCTTTCCAAGAGCATCCAATGCTCCTAACTGCTGAGTCACCTCTCCAGCCCTCAGTTTAGAAATCTTTTTAAAAGTCTGCATTTGCTAAGTATAAAATAACATCATTGAAAATTTAAAACTTACATCTATTTTGAGAAGAAATTAAAGGACCCACTGAGCTGTGTCTACAGATCCATTTTTGTTACTGTTGTTAGAGGCAGTGTCTCATGTAGCAAGGACAGCCTTCAACTGATCCTCCTGCCTCACCTCCTGTGTGTTGTGATTACAGGCATGCACCACTGTGTTTTTGTTTTCTAACACTGTGCCTCAGTCTTACACTTGAAGTAACCTTCCTGCCCCAGTCTCATGAGTGCTGGGATTACAGGTATAAGCCCCTAGACCTGTCTTCCAATATTTTATTGCTATTATGAAAGAAGCTGGGGCCTGGGAAGATGGCTTAGGGGATAAGATGCTTGCTATGAAAATGTGAGGTCTGTAGTTCAAGTCCCCAGAATCCATGTAAAAAGTATTACCCCTATTGCTACTGGGAGTGGGCAGAGATAGGAGAATTGCTGGGAATTGCCGTCTGCCAGACTAACTCCAAGTTCAGTGAAAGACCTTGTCTTCTGGGGGTCAAAGTGGAAGAGATGGAGTGGGACACTGTGTCTTCTCTGGCCTGTGCATGGCCCCCTCCCCACACTATCCATGCTGTCTGTCTACCTATCTGTAGGAGAAGCTCAACCAGTGATGCAAATCAGTTAGCCAGGTACTTTCCAGAGTCTGAGGCAGGAATGTTCCTCTTAAGTTCAAGGCCAGCCTGAGCTACAGAGTGAGTTCAGGGCCAGCCTGGGCAAATTAGTAAAACCTTGTCAAAATAGAAAGTGTAAAAAGCATGGTGGTGGGAAAAAAAGGGAAGCTGGGAGTATAGCTCAGTGGTAGAACACCCTAAGGTCATGTACAAGGTCCTACCTAAGTTCAATCCCCAGGAACGCAAATAAATATAAAGAAGTACATAACCTGGGTGTGGTCATCTATGCCTATAGTCTCAGCACTTAGAAGGCGGAGGCAGGAGAGTCAGTGTTCAAGGTATCATCGTCAGATACACAGCAAGTTAGAAGGCTTTCTGGGCTACATGAGAGTATGTCTCCAAAAACCAGAGAAGAAACAGTTTTTTCAAAAGTATAAACAAGAGCTGGACAGATGGCTCAGTGGTTAAGAACATTTGCTGCTCCTGCAGAGAACCTTGGCTGGGTCTCCAGTGCATACAAGGTGACTCACAGCTTCTAGTTCCAGGGGATACGACACCCTCTTCTGGCCTCTACAGGTACCAGGCATGCACACGGCACACTTATGTGTGTATACACTCAGTCACACTCGTACAGACATATAAAATAAATATTTAAAATAGAATGAATAAATTAGTTAAAAAGAAATCACTAATATAAACACATTTCTCCCTCCCTTCCCCCTCTCTCTTCCTTCTATCATTCCTTTTTGCTGGCTCCCTCCCCCACTCATTCTCTCACTCATCTACTCACTCACTCACTCCCTCTGTAGTCCAGGATATTCTGGAAGTCACATTACTAATCTGGGCATGAATCCTTTTCATTTGTTTTGTGTTTTGAGAGGATCTCATTTTATAGACTGGGCTGGACTGGAACTCACTATGTAGCTTGAGCTGACTTTGAACTGGAGGCCATTACAGGGATGAACCACCATGCCTTGTTAATGTATTTTTTCTTATTTTGCCTAAGAGTATATTATATATGTTCTTTTGTACAATGATGATTCTAGAATTTTAAAATGTTTTGTGATTTATTTATTTTTATTTTGCTTATGTTTGTGTTTTGTATGTATGTCTGTGTGAGAGTGTTGGCTCCCTTGGGGCTGGAGTTGGGAGGATGTTAAATCCCTTGGGGCTGGAGTTCCAGACAGTTGTGAGCTGCCATGTGGATGCTGGGAATTGAACCTGGGTCCTCTGGAAGAGCAGCCTGTGCTCCTAACTGCTGAGCCATCTCTCCAGCCCTGAAGATCCTAACATTTTAAAGCTGAGCATGACACCCCTTTGTTCCTGGCACTATTATTTATTTCCCTTCCTTTTAGACATTGGGTCAGCAACAGTTATTCACCGAGGAAGAACTGAAAGAATATGAAAACATTATTGCCGCACAAGAAAATGAACTTAGGAAGAGGGCAGATGAACTGCAGAAGCAGAAGGAAGAGTTGCAGCGCCAGCATGACCACCTGGAGGCTCAGAAGCAGGAGTATCAGCAGGTCGACACTGAGGGGGTGTGGCTTGCAGGGACTGTTGTGATGCATGAGGCTCAGAAACCTGAGTATTAGCAGATGAGATGTGGCTTTCAGGGAATGACGGGGCCCCTTGAAGTGATGTCCATCTGTAGTTCCAGCTGCTCAGACAGGAGGTTTGCTTGAGCCCAGCCACCAAATTCTATCACAGAGCGAAATCTGTCTCAAATAAACGAAAATAAACAAACTTGAGTTAGGGGCTGGAGGTATAGCCCAGAGGTGGAGAATACACTTAGTATGTGTGAGGTCCTGGGCTTGGTCTCCAGTGTGACAACAGGAAGCCCAAACCAGATGTTAGATGCTTTGCTGAAAGGCTGAATTTTTTTTTGTTTGTTTGTTTGATTGTTTGTTTATTTCATTCTTTTGAGACAAGGTCTTGTATAGCCAGGGCTGGCCTGGAACTCATGATCCTCCTGCCTCTGCCTCCCTAGCCCTGAGATTACAGGAGTCTATAGAACACCAAGCTAAGCTTGTGTTTTTATAATATGCCCTTAAGCTGTCATTTTTTAAATTTTAGTGTGCTTTAAAACTAGCTTTGTTACAACTTCTGTTTTGGAATTGTGGAATCAATGAGAACATGTCACACCAACTGAGCTGTGAAGGTGACTTTTATCTCCTCCCAAGTGCTAGGATTGCAGGGGTACACCACAAAGCCTGGCTAGTCACTATCAGAGGAATAACTGAATGTGTATGAAAATGGCAATCTTCACACGGGCTGGAGGAAGAGCTGGTGAGGACCCGCATAAAGACAGGGCTTTTATCTTATTACCAATGACCAACAGTGGACTCTGCCTCAGAGCTCAGTTCACCTGCTGCTCTCTGCTCTGATTCTCAGTGTGACATCAGATAGTAGTCATCCTTCCTCAGTGTCCAAGAGTATGATAGGACAGTGTTCTAGGGGAAAAAAAACTTAGTTTATTATGCTTAGCCAAAGATGGCATATATGACCGAAACAATCAGCAGTACTTTCATATTTTTCCCACTCACCAGGCTGTACAGCAGCTGGAACAGAAGAAATTTCAACAAGGGATCGCTCCATCAGGGCCAGCAGGAGAACTGAAGTTTGAACCACGTATGTAATTTTCCCTTGTTTGTTTAGGGTAATAAACCATTAAAAATCGATAACCATTTTTCATTTCAAATACAGTCTATCTTCAGATGATTAAAATTCACATTGTATTCTATATATTTGAAGAAATAGAGAAATCCGCATTAAAGAAACTTTGAAAAGTTCTCAAATTTTCACGAGTGGACATTTTTCAAATGCCACATAATTAGATGACCATCGTTATGGTGCAGTAATTTATTTCAAAATTATTTGTAATTCTTTATGACCATTTATATTGATCTTGCCAGAAGATAATTTATAATTTATATTGATCTTGCCATGTTTGTAATTTGTAATCTATGATGAGCTAACCATACTTTCAAAAAGTAAAATAATGTATCTTTAAATAAAAGAACATTCAGAATAAAGGAAGATATGTTTAAAATGTGAGCATACTTCTTTTGAACAGACACGTAAAGCCCCGACGTCTGCAAGAACTTGGAAGAAAACTGTTCACTCAACATCTGTTTCATCTTTCAACATCCCCTCTTTTATCTTCACTCAATAAATACTTTAAAGCACATTTGGAATAAAGGGAGAGACCTTTAAAGTGAGAACACAATTTTTTATTTTTTCACGCAGGTATTTAAGGATTGAAATTTACTAGAACCAGGACAGAAACAGACTCAGCCACTCCTCCCATTGTTCTTCATTCGTGTTAGTGCTCAGGGGCCACATCCCATAGTTTCATGACACAGTCGTTAGCTGGGTCAGAGAGCTCTGCCTGTGGCTTGAGGATAACGTGGTGTCACTCTGAGGGTAGTTTTCTTTCATAGGTGCTGTCTTCCTCTCTCAGCAAACCCCTCTTGGATATTCATGGTTATTCCGAAAAAGCCATCCCCCCCTCCAACCCCCGTGTTTCTGGTGATTTTGGCCTATTTTATCACCCTACCCTCAAGAAGGCTTCAGTTGAGTGGCGTCTGCTCCCACATCAGAATTGCTTTATTCATGTGCTTGCCTTCTGTCCCTCCCTGGGATAGAAAACATTGATTTCACGTTTTTAAATCATTGACAGTGATTTAAACTAGACAGGAAGTCTCCCTCTTTCTCTAAGGATATCTAGGAGTAGTGTGGAAGTCTCCACTTTTCTACTCTGCTATCCTTAGTGCATGGTTTTAGCCTCAGAAACTCACGCTCTGTCTGTCATGGCAGTGGGGACAGACAGGAAAAAGGACTTGAGGAATTTTCCAGAAGAACTTGGCAGCGCTTGAATTTACATCTCCTGTATTTTCACTGTGCTCAAATGTTCAGGGACATACCTGAATGGACTTTAGGAAGGATGTCCTACTTGGCTGGCAGCCTTACTCTGTGTCATACCTACTGCAGGTCACGTGATGCTCCTCAGTGCCCTGCAGGCTGAATAACCCACAAGGGGGAAGTGACTAGCCTCAACTTAGGATTCTCTTATAAAGGCAAAGGGGATGTTTGGAGAACACATTTGGTCTTAAATCAATCCTTGTCATCATCTACATTTCTGTCTGCACTCTCTTCAAACAGAAGACACTTACCTCTCCAGCTCCAAGGAGAAACTCACCAGTCATCACTACACATTAGCCCCAAGACCATGATTTTGCTCTGTTGTCGGCTCTCAGATTAGGCCATGGCCCCTTGTGTTTTCTACCCCAAGAACACAACATACAGGATGCCTGGGCACCAGGGGACTGCAGCAAGTTTAGAGGAAGGATGACTCATGGGCTGGGAGGTAGCTCAGTGGGACAGCATTTGCCTGCCACAAGCAAGGCCATCACCAACCCCCAGAACTGCAAGCAAATTAAAAAAGCAGAAGAAAAGAAAGACTCAGGAATGGGATAGCTGACCCTTAGCATTTAAAAGGTACTGTTTGGCTGTAATGCATGAATATCTGCTTGCTTGCTCATTGGGCAATCCCTGATTGACAGTTTCGAGAGTAGCTCCCTTGTCTCAGTGTCCTCAGAGGCCTTGAGTTCTGTCCTATAGGAGATTTTTATGTTCACGAATGTCCAGGGATATATCTGAATGGACTTTACGAAGGATGTCCTCCTCGGCTGGCAGCGTCAGCCTATGTCCTGTTGCTCCAGGCTTCAGGCTCAAGGCTTGCTTTAGGCAACAGCTGTGGGCATTGCCAGGTTGGATCATGCTTTACTTTGTTTTGCTTTTTGCCAAATAGTTTTGAAAGTCTTAGCAGGTGTCTTGGGTTTCTTTCTCTTCTTTTTAATCATTTTGATGAGCAACTAGTCAGAGGTACAGCTTTTGTTTTTTATTATTATTATTATATTATTGTTACTGTTATTATTTTGAGACAAACTCTAAGGCTGGCTGGAAACTCACTGTAGAGCCCAGGTTCACCTTGGACTTATGGCAGTCCTCCTGCCTCAGCTTTCCAAGGGCTGGGATTGCAGGTGTAAGCCTGGACATTTGGTTAAAGGTATGGTTCCAGCATGATTTAAATACAGGTTTGTTTTGTTTCTCCTGGATTTCTGATGGTGTGGATTGAATGAAGAGCTGTCTGCATGTTAGGTAAACACTCCATCACTGAGTGACGTCCTCTGCAGACAGTTTTGAAGTAAGAATCTCATCGTTTGTCTGCTGGCCTCTGTGCTCTCTCCTTCTCTGGGATCTTAGCCTAAGGTACCTCCTGGAGGCTCTTTTGGATTATAGGTTTGGATGGGATGACAACAGCCCTCACTGGGTCTTTTCCCTAGGATAGTTATTATCACTAGAAGGAAAATTCTTTTTTTTAAATATAATTATTTTTCTTTTATGAATATGGATGCTTTGCCTGAATATTTGTCTGTGCATCATGTGTGAGTCTGGAAAAGAGCATTAGGTCCCCTGGGACTGGAGTGAAAGATGGTTGTGAGCCACCATGTTGCTCAGAATTAAACCTGGATCCTCGAAAAGGTCACTAAGTGCTCTTAACTGCTGAGCCACCTCTCCAAGGCAGAAATTTCTTAAGGGAGAGTCCTTGGAAAGGCTGAGGAAGCTTCAGTTCCCAGAGCCTTTGCTTACTCCCAGTTGAGTTGGGAGGGCAATTGTATTTGATTTTTGGAGTACTTTGGGACTCTGGATTCGGGCATTTCTCAGTCTGTACCATTGTTAGCTTTTGTAACTCAGCCTGAGTCACATTTACATGGTGGCATTGCTGAATCCTTTCTCCTCAACCAAACCAACCCTTCCCTCTTTTTGTGGTGGTGGGACTTAAACCTACACATGGCCTTGCGCCCATTGAACATGTGCCCTTGGTGGGTGTCATAGTGAATACTGCCATCCTAGCATTAGGAAGCTGAAATAGTGGGGGTGGGGGTGTGTGCCATGAGTTTGAGCTACATGACAAGACCTTGTCTCAAAACATAGGTGATGAGATCTTCTCTAAGAAGAGTCTTCTCATTCTTTAGATAGAGAGTATAGATAGCTCACAAAATCTTTGGGAGGCTTTCAGATTTTTCCTGAAGAAACAGATCTAGGCCCTAGCATGGAGTTCAGCATGTAGGAAGCCCAAAACTGCATAAACTGGGTACCGTGGCACATGCATCTAATCCCAGCTCTTCAGAACTTCAAGGTCATCCTCAGGAGTGTAGGGAGTTCGAGGGCAGCAACATGAGACCCTCAAAAGGAAGAGATAAAGAAACAGCTTCAAGTGCCTCATCACAAGAGCAGGCTGCCCATGAACATTAGGGATAACCAACAACCAGGAAGCTGCCTGCTGTGTCAGCAAACCCAGACACTTGCCAGCTCTAGAACCTCGCCAGCCTGCCAGGTGCTGTGGCCACAAAGGTGAAGGGCTCACTTCCTGTTTCCATGCCCACATCACTCCAGTCAAAGTCTGAGGTGAGTATGCCTGATTAACTAACTAAAATATTAATGTCCAGAGCCCTTACAGTACTGGAGGTTGGGAATGACAGTGTTTACCTTCTTACCATTCTATTACAGGAATGTGTGTTAAATGCCAGTGTTTAACCTTCCTACCCCCTTGTAGGAATTCATATCATTGAGCTACCCAGCCACTCTAGCACTTTAGAATTTTACAAGTTCCCCTGGCTGCCGTTTTTTGTTTTGTTTTTTTTGAGACAGGACCTCACTGGGTAGCCCTGACAGGCCTGGAACTTGCTATGTAGACCAGGCTGGCCTTGAACTTACAGAGGTCTGCCTGCCTCTGCCTCTGAGACCAAGTTGCTCTTAATCTTTAACTGATTAACGAATCCTAATCTGTTTACAAGCAAACACACTGTTGTCTTGGTGAGTGCTTATTGGCGCAACAGAAGAGAAAACAGTGGAGAAATTGCTCCTTGCAGTAAGGAGTGCACTGGGCTTCTCCTGAAAACAATTGCCCTCCTCAAGCCAAGGCTGTGTGGGGATATTCATATTGCACGCTGCTGTGGGGTAGCACAATCCCCAGCATGCTTGCTTGCAGATGTATATTACTGCCTAGCCTAGCAGCTTACATTTGTAAGCCTAGCACTGGCTAGGCTGAGGCAGAAGGGTAGCCTGCCCAGAGAGAGTTCCACTGTGCTCAGTCGCAGGTCATACTTGAAGAAAGGTAGACTGTGGATACATTCTGGCCATGCTTAGCTCAAGGGAGCTTATAGAGCAGACAGAACAGCTCAGTGGGTAAAGGTTTTGCCAAGCCCGATGAACTCAGTTTGATCCCTGGGACCCACACGGTGTTGGAAGGAGAAAACTGACTTCTGTATGTTCCTGTGACCTCCACACACTCGCTCCTGCCCAAACACCATAAAGAAATGTTTGTATGTTTTTGTTTTTGTTTGAGACAGTGTCTCACGTTGTATCCCTGGCTGGTAAGGAACCTGCTATGTAAGCCAGGCTGGCCTTAGAGATCTGTCTGTCTCTGTTTCCTGAGTGATAGAGTTAGAGGTATGCACCACCACACTCAGCAATACGTATAATTAAAAACAAAACAACAGATGTGAACACCTCTAAGCATGCTCAACTGATGGCATAGAAAGATAGTGGGCCGCAGACTAGGGAGATGCCTCTGTAGGTATGAGTGATGGCTGTGCAGGCATGAGGTTCTGAGTTCAAATCCCAGTGCTCACGGAAAAAATGTGGCATGTCTGGATGCCTGTAACCTCAGCATTGGGGAACGAAGATGGGTAGATCCCAAGAGCTTACTGGTCAGCAGCCTATTTAGCTTCTGGTTTGGTGAGAGATCCTGTCTTACAGGAATGAGGCAGAGAGTAATAAAGGAAGACACTGAATGTCCTGCTCTCCATGTGCAGGTGCACTGACACACGTACATGTGTACACCACACATACACACACACATACACACACATACACACACACACACACACACACACACACACACACACACACACACAGGCCAATAAAACAAAACAACCCCCCAAAGGTGGAGGAGAGGAATTCTCCTAGACATGTTCAGTTTCTTTTTCCCAAAAACGTTTAGCTGATATCAAAGAAAAAGGTATTTGAAGATGTGTTAACTAACATAGGAACGTAGCTCCAAAGGCATGCAACTGACCAGGCTGTTAATACTTTCTAAAATAATCATTGCATACTCCTATA